CGAAAAAATTGCTGTTTCCTTTCGCAGCTGTACACGCCCACTAATAGGCTACCACGCTGCCGGTCCATCGCGGTCGGACTCGGGCCGTTTTTGTAGAGAAGCAGGGCGTTCACGTTGATGGCGTCCTTCCTTTCCCTAAGTCTTTTCTTCGATGCAGTACTTCTCAGCATCCCTACTCACTCCCCATAAGCGATCAGTTTACTGCACCATCTACCATTAAGATGGAGGTGCTATAGAAGCAGCTCCTCGCAACATGTTTTCAACTCATAAAACAGTTTGAGCCTTGCTATGCTCTTTGACTCGAAGCTATGGAAAAACTTGCCCCCAACTTTGAAAGCATACAAAAGTCAGAAAAGCAATGAAGTGTTGGACTAGCAAGCACAAACTGATGCTTTGTGGAACGTGGATCTTCAATACTTGGAGCACTAGAAGAAGGCGCTATGCCTTTGGTCGTCTTTTTCCAAGAAGAACTCAGCTTGAGCAATCACCCGGATCTAGGAAAGCAAGAGGTCGTGTTTAAGATATGCGCCCAGTGAAGTCCACAGGATTCTGGAAGGTCTGGATCCAACACTGGTGAACAAAGAAGGCCACTGCTTATCCATGATTACACGCAACCCCTCTCCTATAAAGAACCTTACAGAACCTGAACGAGCTAGTCAGCGAAACTGCGCTTTAGTTGACATATGCAACTTTTCGGTTTTCTTCCAGTCTCCATTTTTACACACATTTTGACCATGTTCCTGGCGAATATGCTTCGAAGAACAGCAGGTAGTGGAAGTGGTACGCACCAGTTGAGCAGTTGCGAGCAGGGAGAGCCACGTGTTGCAAAAATTTGACCAAACCCCTGCCGAGCTAGGCGTAAATTCACTCAAAACGCGGGGAGGGAAGAAGACATTCTACGTCAAAACCTGGAGAGAACCGAAAGTCACGTGAAATCTTCGAAACTTTGCAAATTCCGCGGGAATTTTTTGAAAAGGATTAAAATCTTCCTTCCCCGAAATTTTGATTAAAAAAACCTGAACCTTCTTTAATCCTACTCGCACCCCTCGAGATGCACTCCTGCTCACAGAACTAGGGCCACCAGTTGAGCAATCCTTACCCTCAGTGGCACACTCCCCAAAATAAGTAGTATTACAAAACCCGGCTTGGGGAAATTGACATTGAAAAACTGGAGCGAAATGTCCTCGGAGAGGTTTCATCTGTGCACAGTTTGATCAAGAACGATATACCAAATTAGTGTTCTATTCGTGTGCAATTTCGTTTTTATTTGGCACGGAATGAAACTGAGGGCACCGATCACATCACAGAAATTTGCAACTCTCCAAGACTGTAAGCGCGAATTAGGTCTGCGAGCACCCATGAACCCTTCCAGTGTTACATCCAAAATACATCAAAGGCAAGAATCAGGATCAAATTGATGGGGTGATTCCACTCAAATGTGAAATAGATATGGAAGGTGGACCGCCAGTGGAGAAAAAAGGAAAGAGAACCCTGAAATACATAGAAAATACGAGCATTCTGCTCTATGCTCTGAAGAAGTTTAAAAGACAGGCAGGGAGATGAGAGACAATGTGAGCGCGGAGAGCGGTAGAGAATTCCGAGAACAGAGAACATAGCAGATCAACGCAACAACGCAGACAAGGCATCGATCGGTGGGCGGACCATGTTAAGTTTGGTGGAGTCTGTAAGAAGTCCATGGCGCCTAAGGTCCTAGTGGCACGTTTCGATGTATAGAGGTGGCGCTACTTTTGAACTTACGTACCCAGCACTTCTAGCCATGGTAAGGGCATCTTAGGTGGGTCTGAGTCCAAACTTTGCCCTTAATGTTGCTTGCAAAACCGCTCTTGAGAAAATGCTTATGTTTCATTGACTGGTAAAGGATAAAGCTTGAAGCATTGCCGTTGGTCAATCTCTTTTTCCTTGGGATGTGGCACGCATTGTACTTCTAGTCGTACATTCGTAGTGGCGTTTGGATGCGATTAGGCACACACAATGACTGCGGGGCCCAGCCGATGTACAAGTTAAAGTTTCTATCATCCCATATAAGTCTATTACAAATTAACCGACCCCAGAGGGATGAAAGGTTTGGCTTGGGCGACGCACGACCCAGGATTCGATCCTTGGACCACGCACTCGGGAAGCGTGCCACTTGCCACTACACCGCTGTCGCCCTTCAGTGATTGTTGTTATGTAATATTCTAATGAAATTTTACTCAGATCAGCTTTATATGTATCGTTTCGAGGAGAGCTAATCATCCACTGCGATTTTCCACAAGAAGTTTCGTTCTATTCGTGACGTTGGATATGTAGACCTCATTTTGAGCAAAGGAACTGTTTTTAAGGGACATGGGAAAGTAGATTTGGAAAGCTGTTAATGTTAGCATATTCTTCAGAAACTTTGGAGGAAGTTCGAAAAATTTATTATTCAAACAGCCGCACGCTTCATTCCTCTGTTCATTACCAGCTCCTTCCAATCTGAGCGCTTAGGTGAAGAAGGTGGACTAGCTCAAACGTCATCATGGACACAACAGGCCATTAGAGAGGAGGAGGATCGTGTTAGAACGTCCTCCGAAAGGGGACCCGTTCAACTTTAAACTATTTCTCAAAGTGACGGTTGGCCCTGCCTCTAAGCACAATCTAGCAATTGTGTGACAAGAGCGGTCCGAAGTCACCCTTTTTTGTTATAACCTTGACAATACCCAATGACCTTTGAAGATGCGATTACTTTTTTAATAACTCTACCTTCCATTTTCTGCAGCAATTAGGCTGCCCGGTTTGCAACCGCAAAGGGACTGATATCATTGCGTCGATCTGTGCCATCTCATCTGCAACGTTCCCTCGTCTCGCTCGTCTGCGATCTCACCATGTGCCCAGCAACTGAAGTGTCTCTTTCTGTCTGTATTGCCGACTTTGAGAAAAAGATTGCACTCGAAAAGGTGTTTTGTTTCCTTTCCTATTCTTTTTCACTGATGATTCGTTTGGTACCTACTGCTTCATGTCTGAATTACAATACCCTTTCAGCGCTATCGAAATTGGAATGTGACTTCACAAACGCTTCATGACCCTCTGTAGTGCCTTGTTTTTCTGGGGATTTCAAGCTGCGATTTGGGATCCCAATTCTTTGAACGAAGTTCCACCTCCACGTTTGGGTGTGTACTCAAAGTTCACTCTCATTCTCCACCAGAGCTCACTATCGAAGCATTTTATTATATACTTTATTGGGAAGGTTCATTTTGTCTTAAAGAGAATGATGTTCTTTCCATCTTGTCGATGGAACTTTGGGAATTGGACAATTTCTATGCTGAATCAGGTGACCAATTTACATCACGTCAGCTTCTAGTAAAAGCATGAAGCGCATCTGTGATTGGAGAATTGTGGGTCAGCACCAATCAGAAGGCTAACCTGCACGCTAAAGGAATCCTCCACGGAAAAAGTGATCATTTTGTCTTGCGTGTAGGATTAGTATTATCGAAACTCACACTTATGTTCCTGTTCTTATTGCTACGCTCATGAGGCGAGGGGCCTAAGGTATCGTTTTTTTGTGGTAATGGAGGCGGAGCTATTTCCGCGGGAGATTCCTTTAAAGGCAACATTCGGGATTAAATTTATGGGTTCATTCTACTCAAATGTGAAAGTAGGGATGGGAGATGGACCGCAACAGAGAAAAAAAAGGAAAGAAAATCCTGAAATACCAGGAAATATGATTTTTTTTGCTCTACGCTGAGGAGGAGTCCAAAATGTGGTCAGGGAGAAGAGAGATAATGTGAGCGCGGAGAGTGGTAGAGAAGTCCGAGTAGAGAGAGCGTAACAGATCAAATTAGCGACGCAGACAAGATAGCGAGTGGTGGGCGGACCGTATTTTGTTCGGTGGAGTCTGTTAGAAATCTTTAGCGCCTAACGTCTTAGTGACGCGTTTCGATGTAGGAAGGTGGCGCGACCTTTGCACTTGCCTACCTAGCACTTCTAGAAATGGTAATGGCTTGTTAAGTGGGTCTGAACCTAAACTTTGCCTTTAAACTGAAGATCTCTAAGCACGTGCGCTCATTAAACACTTAAATGTTCTTACTCATTTAACTACTATTTATATATAGTACGCTTTATTAGATTTAAATTTCATATCACAAATTCCCGAATACTTTCAAATGACTGATCAAAGCACGAAAATGACACGGGGTTTGAGAGCAATATGCTCGCACAAGGACGGTTATACCACCTATGGAAAGAGTGTGTGAGAGAGAGACTTTTCTGGAAATTCGAATGATATTTACATACATTTACGTATACGTATATGTACGTATGGACAGTAACAAAAACACATATATAATGCGAAATAGGCAAAATCCCAGAATGAACGGGTGAAAGAACGGGAACTGATGATCGGCCGTGAGTAAGGGAGACAGGGGGAATATTGAAGATGGCGCATATTATACGCACCATACACACATCATACACACAAACACTGACAAAGAAGCGTATGCGGCGCGGCAGCGTCGCGTTATATGTGATAGTTAGAAAAAAAAACAATAATCAAACAACCAAACGAACAAGAACATAGATCTACCCTTAGTCGGTGAAAGTGTGTCTATGAGAGGGTCACAGCGGTATGAACCGAACGGAAAAAAAAGCTGAGCAAGAACGAGCATCTACACCATGAAAACAACATAAAGTAAATGAATAAACGATAAAGGATACTGTAGTCTATCAAAATAACTCTACGAAGCATCGTTACTGTACTGTATAGTGGCAATGTCAATATAATGTCAGGGTGGTGGCGGGGGAAGACCGATGAAAAATTGTAACTCTCAGCAAGGGAATTTCATAATATATAACAAACAAGCAGAATACCTTTGAAAATTTGAAAAATAGCTAATCGCGTATCAACAGTGTGTGCGTGAACGACCCGCAACCAAAGAGCACAATAGAACATCTGACTGATTGCATTCCGAATAGGTTTGCTTTTATAGAAGAGGTGCATCTCCTCTGATTGATTACTGACTGACTTAGAACTCTTTCAACAGTAACTCATCCAGTAATGGATCAACTCCAAGCGAGATATCTTTACTGAATTGCACAAGTCCGGTTAACGTCGATGCCACTTTCTGAAAAAAATTGATATTACTTACTGGAATCTAGTAACTGACTCATATAAACGACCATTGTGACTAATGCGGCTAGTTAATGCTTCCCTTCGGCCCTGTGTATTTATCCGCTGGCTCTATCCCTTTCAACGCCAGTGGCTAACGCACTTAGCCCTCAAATAGATAGGCTTTGTAAGCGAATTCGAGCCAGCTATTGGTAGGGTGAAAATCGATCGACGATTGGTCGTTGACTCGTCAAGGATTTGCCTGTTCAGTCACGCTCTCCCACGCGGACATTCACTCTCACCATGCGCGAGTCGTCCATGCTCTCCGCGCGCATTTTCACTATCGACGTATTCTCCACAGTACAGAGCTATTGTCGAGGATTTCCTCGACCGCCATTCACGCTTGTTCCTGGGTGCCGAGTTAAGGTTAGACAAATGTCACGCCCTCCCCCCCCCCCTGTTGTGCTGCGGTCTCGTCACTTGACTATCTTCAGGGCTCGGTGGTACTTCTGATCCCGTCCCTGCAATTTCGCCAGCCTCGTTTTGCGACATCATGGATGAGTCAGCGCTTAGTAGTCATAATGCCCCTCGAAAGTCGTCCTTGCCTAGCTGGTTATATGGGTTCATTTCCGAGAACCAACTAACTAGGATACAATCTTATCTACTCTAAGATTGACCACTAATAAATATGTTAATACGAAAGATTTCTGCAAAACCCTTCCCAACATTGAATCGACCCTTCAAGCATTCCAACTGATCGCATAGACCAACTATGCGCAACGACGTACGAAGATCGACTACTGTCGTAAAAACCGCCGGTCCCCCCCCCTTCCCCATCTCACCTTCACTCGCTTCCCCGATATCAGTCACGCGATAGGCTGGCAATTCGCGATCGTCGTTCCGGGTTTGCAAGAGAAATTCGCTCGACTACTTTGAAAGACCGATCTGCACGCATAAAAAATGGCATGTTGATCGGAAGAAGGAAAAGGCAGCGATCGGAAGGCGATGACAACGACGTGCACGACCTTCTCATTGTCGGGTCAAAAAACTCCACAGAAACTCTAACAAACTGCATCAAAGACACCGTAACTGACCGTAACCGACGCGATCAACAGCAATAGATGGCCGAAGCGGGCAGTCGCCTCTGATGGTGGATATCGTGCCATCAGGTGAGAGAAGAGTGCATTTTGCACGGATTCACGACCAACTAAACAGGAATTCATTAAAAAACGTTCTTGATAAAAATTTTAAAATAAAGTAAAACGTAAGAATCTTTGTCAACTAACCGAGTAGATGCCCAGAGGATTTCATCGATAGGCCTTTCACGTTGGGATCCAGCGCCATAATTGCCTTTAAGGCTAATAGTTCCGTTTCTGTAACGTGCAACTTTCGTAGTTGATGCATAACCTGATCGACCAACGCTCGGCGCACAGTTCTGAAAGAATGCAATCACTTGATCTATAAAAAGGCCATTTGGTAGAAGTTAGACTGCTATCGTCATAGTGGCATGCGTGCAGCGCACAGGGTAGAGGGGCCGCTTCAAAGAACATACAAGCTAGCTCAGTTCATTGCCTTGTCACTTTATGTTGATCACGCCCCCTTACAAGGGCCGTATCCTATCCTTCCCCTAGGCTAGGGGAACAAAAAATCTCTTTAAATTGTCTTCGATTTCCTACAGAGATCGCCATGGGAAACTGCGTATTCGTAACGTATATATGTATGCATTTAAACGCAAACAAACGCAGAAAGTGATGGAGCAGTTCCATGGAACAAAAAAAATTTAAAAGTTTTTTTCTTCCCATAGCCAGGGGGAAGGATGAGATACGATCCCAGTTCCGCTATCGTCGCCTTTTTGGCGGAAAGAGCGATCATTACTCTACCTTAAGAACTTTTCCATGAGCGCTACTGCAACGTCTTGTGGAAGGGACAAAGCAGCGCTCATTCAAAAACGAAATGAACAGCAGCGCTGAACCCTTTCGACCTTGCGCCATTGGTTTACTGATCATTTTTATCTTGACCTTTCTTGGGGAAGTGCCTGGGTAACCCTGTAACCCTGACTCTCTCGTCACTGCCAGTCGCTGCCACGGGTCCTCCCATTTCAACCAGAGGGAAGCTACCAAGGCTATGAATACCTTGGATAATATATGACCCTATAGATATCTCAGCATATGCGATGACTTCCTATGAGAACCTTCCACTGAATAGATTTCGCATAGGCGAGTGCATACGTCGCACACGACAGCCGCGCGCGACGATACATCAAGCGCGAACGCTAATCATTGAGCGCGTGCTTGCTTAAAGTGCGCGATCTTTGGTCGCTATGACAAGGTCTCCGCCGCACTCTCTCACTTCCGATTGCGCTCTCTCTCGCACGTCTTCCTGCAAAGCGCAGCAATAAAGACTCGGAACCAACGGATATACTAAAGCCTGGACAGATTTCGATGCGTCAGATCCTAAGCCGTTCGCCAATGCTGGTCGCCAGAAAGCAGTGATGGTTGACCGTCGGTCGCCGAAATGTCTGCGACCTCGTCGACGCTACCGAAACAGTGCTGATGGTATCCGTTTCGGGACGTGGAGAGCGATAACCGGTTCATGGCGGTGTCGACCAACGGCCGCGATCGCTGATCGTCGTTTGGTTCCTCATTGACAAAACGTCGACGATACTGAACATTGACCAGCGCCCAGGCGATGATAATCGCACACTTCAGACACCAATGCAAATACGCTGACCATCCAGCCGCTGGCATCACCGTCCCGTCGCTCTCGTCCACCCGTGCACATTCGCCGATGCTTAATGAGCGCTTTCTATCTCCGCATCCATCGTCCACGCCCTTTCGTCTGACACTGCGTTCACTTGGGACATTTGGAAAATGGCAGTTGGGTGAAATATCATGCTGAGGCTATTTCCCTTCAGAAACGTGGAAAAATAGAACACGCTGCGATGAATCAACCCTATTCTAGAAGACTGTCGCGCTCTGATCACAAGATCACTGAACGAAAATCACAACGCAAACTCCGAAAGGGGCGCGGCGGCGATCACCGAGTGCATCTCTACAATGACGTGCTGAGATGCACAGAGATCAGTGATGAGACGTAAAACCAGCGCCGCCGCCGCCGTCTCCGCCGCCACTACAACCGGCGCCAGCAGCAGCACCACCAGCAGCAGCGCCACCACCGCCGCCGCCGACGCATACGCCTGACCAGAGATCGGATCGGGCCAAAAGTCAAACTTGACTCACTCGCATTTCGCGATCATCAGAAGGTGTCGTTTATCGTCATCGAGGACTGATGTGAACAGTGACATATCCGATGGTAACGTATGACCAGATGGTAGAACAATCGCATCGGAATCGTGTTTCGATGAGTGAAAACTCAACATAAGCAGTGCAAACGGTGTGATGCAATTTCGAATCAATGCGATCTGAAAATAGAACTGATTTAAAATAGGCTCAAACACACTAAAAAACAACCAGACAATCTGCAATTCACTTAAAACATCCCTCAGAAAAAAGCGATAACAAAGGCGATAGCGTTAAAACAGAACGCGCCTTGAACTGAACTTTGATTTCTATTGGCCCTGAATGATATTAGAGGTTCTCCTAAAAATGAATTATTCAATTGCGCCGTCATAGGGCAATAAAAATGGACCCAGGGCTATGACGTGAGTTTCACGGAGGAATAGGAAACGAGGGACGAGGGTGGGGGGTGCTTTCATATTCTTTACAACAAGTTTGTCGCTATTGTGGGCGATGAGTCAAACCGATCTTCAAGGACGGCCGCACTTTTGCACTGCAAGAGGTAATGGATTCTGGCATTCAATTTTCATGCTCGAAAAATGAAATTCGTCCTTGGTGGGGTTACCTGCAGAAGACAAGGCAGTAAACTTCAATTAGGGTTTACACTGCAATTCGCTACTGAAAACTAGGGTCCAGATACGCTCATGTGCATATTCGATTTTCGAGAACTGATCTCTGATCAACAATTCTCCGTAAATAGGGAATCCGTACATAGTTTTTTGTGATAAGTTGATAAAACCTTTGATATCCCTTCTTATTTTGAAATCTCACACTAGTGGTTTTCTGTTGCTATACAGCTAATCACCACGTGGTCTATTTTGAGCAGATTTAGTGAATCAAAGACAGATCCAAATCTCTCAATGTTTTTGAAATTCTACATTCGATCAAAGAAATTCAACCAAAGCCCGAACATGAATTCGTAGGGACCTAGAGCAAGAAAGGTGCAAATGCTCAGCTACGCAAACAATCTACCCGACTTAAACTTGAAAATTTGCAGAAATTCATGAACCCCTTTATTTATAAAGTTTAAACGTATTTAAGTAAGGAAATACCAGAAGCAACACCTCAGACTTCAATTAGTGGAAGAAAACCAGATGGCTCTAAAAATGCAGTTCTCAATGGGAAAGACAGATATCTATTTTTTTCGAGAAAATCTCAAGTACTACCAGCTTGCAACAAGCATTTCAACTTTTAAGTTCAAAAATTCTCATTCCCTCAGAACCCTTGAAAAATTCACGGGAGTTTCCAACTGAGCCTTAGCTAAGGACGGAAGTGGTAAAGTGGCAAGCAGCGCACGGTTCGGAGATCATATCCTGGCTTGTGCGCCACCCACGCCAAGCAAGCCAAGCATCACATAGTGGTCCGTTATTTGGTATCAAACATTGAAGGGAGTGTAAAGATATTGCTCTGGTATCTAAGTCAAATCGCCTTCGAAACGTCACTACGATCCTGAATGGAAGTGGAATGCGTGGCGTATCCCAAAAGGATCGATCAATGCCAATTATATTGTGGTTTTGCTTTTCAGCATCTTAGGTAATCGGGCTCAGCCAATCCCCTACTGTTATGAGTCTCATTTGAGTCATCTCATTTGAAAACTCCTGAAAATATGGGTGTGCGTGTGTGAAATTTCGTCATTTCAAACATCCCCCACAACCGCCTCCTCCGCTCGCGTCGGACCTTACTTTGTCGGCGTACGTCTGGTCGTTATCCAAACAACAGAATACACTTTATGTTTGAACAGAGACTGAACAGGCCAGAATTGCTCTGATGGGGAAAAAACACGAAGAAGTCACAAAAACGAGCCCCCGACGATACCTTTTCTTCAGGTTGTATGTCGGCAATTGGTTTCAACGTGTTCGCGTAGTCGAACACCAACACAGTCATCCTTCGGACGTTTTCTGCGATTGACGTCAAACTCGCTGGACCATGAAGGGCCTCGAATACCATCTGAAAAGAGGATAAATGGCTCGGCTACTGAAAAAATGGTAGCATAGGGCTGAATTTCCGTCTATGTGAATCATGCCTCCCTTTTGATTTTTTCTTTGCAACTAATCAAGAACTGCTCAAGCAACGCGTGTTATCCGAGCAGTTCCCAGTCCAACGCGATAAGTGCAAAGCGGTAAGCAGCAAGCTCTTTGTGTTGCTTAATGTTTTCAATTAGCCACACGGTAACTTGAGCTCCAGACTCGCATTAGCAGCAGTAACTTGTTTTTCGAACTCCCTCCCCCTCAGTCCTGTCTGCAGATGATGTCATGTGAGTATTTACGCAGTACGCGCTCACAGATCACTCTACCAACCACATGTCGATGCAAAAGGATGATGGAATGTGCTCGACTGCCTACCTGAGATCTGGGAGTGATCAGGGACGGTCGATGGACACAATCCAGAAGGGTAGGCCGGGCCATTGGTGACACTGGTGCCACATCACGCAGTTGTAAGCAGATCTGCTCGATTTCACGTAGTGTCGTTAGGATCTCGTCACATGGACTCGGTCGGACATCAACAGCAGGTGCTGATTCGGCACGAGATGATGGCGACGTAGGATTATCGTCGGAATCGTCCTAAAATCAGATTATATCCTACAAAGTCTATCTGTACTTCCCTATTTACGTCATAATATCTGAAAGGGCAAGGGTGAATACTTCCGGTATCTCACCCTCTTATTCACACACGGTAAGTCGCCGAACATCGATGCGCCCGAGAGTTTTTTCACGACGGCCGGGTCGAGGCCATTGATCAGATGAGTGCCATTTCGTCTCGGATTCTTCTGTCGACCTGTTTTGTCACGATCGGGTCTGATAGCTGAAAATTATTGTTATTAATTAGACGAACGGTTCTCAGTGCACGAATTTCGCCCCAGTTCTGAATCAAAGGTCACATGGTGCTACCGTATCTGTATAAACAGCCGAATGTACTGCTGTAGTGGCTACTGGTCTAATCAGGAGATCGTGTGACAGGACTGAGCCAAAATTTTAAGCCACCTGAACCGTAAAAAGGCCCATTAGCGAAAAAGGGGTAGGATATTCTAGGTATAGGAATAAGTTGCATGAACTAGAGGGAGTACTAAGGGATTCTTCCGGAAAAAAGCCCAGTACATCTGATGCTTACCATCTGGCTCCATTCCCACGTCGAGACATTTTTGAAATCGGCACGAACGGCAAACGTTTCGTCCAGCTGAAATGAGCATCATAAATTCCATATGGTGCTTTTGCTGTGCGTGTGTGTGAGTGGTTGGTTGCTTGATGGCCACCACTCTGAATGACTCAGTGGTTTCCCCCCACTGTTTCCCCACATGGGCGAGCACTTGCAGGCTGAGAGAACTGCGTGGGTGGAGATGAAGGCGTTGCCGGATTTGGTTCATTTCTCCCTGTTTCCATGTGATTTATGCGAAAATGCAAAGCTACGGGAGAAGCTAAAATAGAAATTCTTCGTGAACCATTTTGCAGGCTTTTGAAAATACGCTAAGTATGTGGTTAAGCGGATCTTCTCCAGTAAACCCGTGTAGGCGGATCTCCTTGTGAGTTTTATAAACAGTACTACGGTCGGTTGTGTTACTGTTGGTAAAGGAGCAGTGATCAGCCGTTCAATGTTGCGAGAATTGATAAGCGCTGGCTGCGATCGAAGAATACGAGCACAAGTCGCCAGCAAGCAAAGATCACTACGCCCACTGGCGTGTACGAGCACCAGCGAAAGATTTGGGGCTGTCGTTCAGTCTCGCTGTTGTTGCTGCTGCTCCCTTCCAGAGACCAGACCACCCAAAACAGCGGGCAGCAGTCTGCTGACTCTCAGTGACTAATTTCAGCATCACATCAGATATAGGCTAACGTCAGTTCCCGAATGATGACTAGCGCAGCAAAGACTCGCGGAAAAATGAACTTGGTGGAGACAAAGTGGATGCGGAGAGCAATGACTAATATTACCAGTTATTACTCACCTTTATCGATTCGGCACTTCTGATCATATCGGCAAATGTAGTTCTTTCCAGCGCGAACCTGAAAAAGGTCAACTTTTCAGGTGATCTGACATGCATGGTCGAAAAACGATCACTTACAGTGCGTCGGAAGAAACCTTTGCATCCGAAGCAGGCAACAACACCATAATGTCGACCGCTGGCCTCGTCACAACAGACCGAGCTAAAATAACCCTTAGATCAAGGAATGTGTTGAAACTAACGAATGTTTTTCACTGTCATTAGTCACTGTCTCACATTGAACACGTTGGACAGAAGAACGAAGTACAACGTCAAAGGTCATGCTCGCGCTACCAACAACAGCCGCTGTCCCGATTTTGACAACGTCGGCAGCTGTTCGGCGACCTACGATCGTCTTGTCGAACTTCATATCACGAATTCCCACAATACAACACAACATTTTATCTTGCAGCGTTACGGACAGAACACTAGCGGAGGTTATCCTTGAAAAGACTGTCTCCATCAGCAAAGACGTCGGTAGACAGTGCGGTCGAGCGTAGATCTTATCGTTCACCTGAGGTCACCGATCTATTACACCCATCATCTATTCACGTACATTGCTCACAAACGTGCACATCCCCTCTCGTGTACATAAACAAAAAACAAATTTGATGTATGTTTTTCTGGCAGATGTTTGCACCGTTCACATAATTCCAGCGCGCTAGTTGCCCGAGCAGCTCTACGACTGCACGAGAGTCACAGTAATCGTCGGTCGTTGAACTTCAGACGGGGTCAAATGAAGTGCTGACGCACTGGTAACACCATGTGACAAAGGTGATCCTCCTGAATCCATGACATGACTAGGTTTACGTTGCTAGCAGGTGAACGTTCTTTGAAGGGCTGCTGCGTGTGTTTGGACACATCAGGGCCATTCAGTGATGTATTCACCAGCGGTTTTCCTCAAACAACGGTGGCATTCTGCTGTATACTCGTGCAGTATTACCGCATCTTCGGTTGTCCAAGGTCGCGTGGCTGACGCCGTCATCGTTCCCCCGTTGGCTTTGATTCTCAGCCAGGCAATAGCTGGCAGCGTGTCACAAAAACATCATTTGTTTGTGCGTTTCCGTCTGCCAAAAAGAAGCACCCGACGACGAGATGCGAAAAATAGAGAGAAAGCGCGAATAACAAGGATCGTTGGCGACGGCAAGGAACTAACAATCGAGGCCAGTTGAGTAAACACAACCAACTAGCTAGTCAACAGCCAGTACGATGAGAGTGAAAGCGAGAGTCGAGAGCAAAAACACGACATACTCCCTTCAAATGAGGCTAGTATTCCATGTGCACGACGTCTAGTTGCAAAGTAAACGTATAATGATGAAGACTTCACTTTGCCTATTGTTAGGGGTCGCGCCATGCACATGGCTTTCACCCGATATCGTAAACAAAAGCGAAGGCGCGCTAAGACTAGACACTCTGCAGACCGTAATTCCATATATAGCGAAAAATTAGCTGGGATAGGAGTCGAAAAACACTCTACTGCCACAACAAGAGGAATCTTTAGCCTGGATTCTGTACATATTTTCAGCGTGAAATATAATAAAAGAGATCGTGCAGCGTAAAGAAATGGGGCGAAAGACCACATTCATGCGAATACACACATACGACGCACAAATGCACAACAATAGTAGGTCGTGCAAAACAACTCACCATATTGTCGACTCTTCTGTGTTTCCAGTAGCTTTAGGTGAAAAGTCGGAAATTTCCGGCTTCAGCAATGATTCCATGGAAAACGTAGGCTGATTCGGTGATCCGCAGCCCATCAGTGCGGCAAACGCAAACGCCGCGGTCGAAGCTCCGGCGTCCGTCATTCCTGTGCGATAAACACTGATCAAAGACCACGACAGCGATCGGGCGGCGGGCGGGCGCCGCACACGCGACGTCGTGTCGTCGCATTCGGTGACGACTTAACGCCGCATGCGGACGCACTCCGTCCAAAGATCCATTCGGCAATATCAATGAGCGTCCACACATAGTGACAAGTGAAATATGCTTACGCGGTACGATTATGTTATTCAGAGATCGAAATAAATGTCATTGTAGAGTAGGATGAGTGGTACCAGAAAGGAGTTGTGATTTAGTAGGATTCCACCAAACCAATGATCAATCGCCGAACGGAATTCGACCACCGAACGAGAGTGGCCGCGATTGCTATCGAAAAGTAGTGACCGAATCACGTCTGCCCACTGTTCACATATTTGAGAATAACTCTGTGATGAAGCCCACGAGATCGCTTCCGCCATCGCCATCGTGACAACGGGCTGCATGCGACGAAAGTTCATTGATGGCCAAGCGATCGAGTGTACTGTCAACATGTTATGAAATACGGCTAGACGGCTTGAGGCTTTCATTGAGGCTGTACTTTGCGACTCGGGCTTCTGCTAAGAGGGCGGAAATCGAAAAACGCGCACAGGGCAATAGCGTGAAGGTCAAACTGGGTGCGCTGCTGATACCTGCGTCTGCGCGTTAAGGCTACCGTTTCTCATGGCGCTAAAGGATGATGGTTGAATGCACAAAGTGATGCGAAAAAAAAGCTAACGGAAATGACGTTAACTTTTACGTTCTGCTCAAAAGGGCAACGAGGGTGTGTACAAGAGAAATTCAGGAGCCGCTACCATAACGGGAGCAAAGATGGTTTTGCATTGGCACGTGCCGGACCAAGTACTAGGTTGCGAAACGGTGCAATGTGGCTCGGGGTTCACTCTGTAGAAGGGAATCTGGAACTAAGCCCAGACAGCAGGGACAAACTCCGGAGAATACGAAAATCGTTTGCGCACACCGGAGTCTCTCCCCTCTCCAAAGGCTTAGTCCTGAACTGAGCTTTTCCATGATTTTGACGCGATGTTTCCGAGCCACATTGCGCCTGCGAAACTTCAGCAAAGAGTGATTCGGTCACGAAATCTTTGGAACCAATGCGCCCTTGGACGCTCGGGAACGAATAGGCAGATTAGGAACAGAAACCAATCACAAATAAGTACGGCTGATGAGGAGCAAATCACCGACTGTCACCGTATCACAAATGCAGGCATGGGTGCACAGATACACGAACAGCTGATCAACAAGATGAAGTAAATAAACATAAACACATATAAACGGATATACGGGTACTTATGAGTACGAGTAAAATATTTGAGGAGGGACAAAGACTGCAAGACGATTCGGTAATGAAATACGAAATGAATGGAATGAGGATGTTTTCGAATCAACACCTTACTCTTTCTCTCTGACTCTCTTCCTCTCTCTCTTGACGTATCTCGTTCTTTCGCAGTCTATCTCTGTCACGCAATGTGACAGATATGAAAGCAAAGTTCGAAGACCCCACGGATTGCAGCGCGACCAGAAATTCCGAGAGAGCACTTCGTGGCCAGCGACCAAAGAGCGTCAGACACATCATAAGGAGAAGGAGGAGGGCGCTGGGCTAATACGGGCCAAGAGACAGTGAAGGGCTATTAAGAGGTATGCTTCTGCCCGGACCCACGACACTGATATGGTATGGTCGTTGTAGTGCTAAATACAATATTTCAATGGCACCGATCGGAGCGATGGGCGTGGTCGCGGCCAGTAGCGTTCGTTGATCAGCTCTTGGGGGAGGTGTCCGAACGACTATCGGGGGTAAGGAATATCTGATTCCATCATCGTGCACCCTATGCGATCAATGATCATCTAGCGAATAACAGATTCCGGTTTCTCGAAAATATGCAAATCACACAGCAGGTATTAAAATACATGAAAATTGGTAAAGTATCTTACCCTTGTAGGGTTTTTTGCTCGTAGCAATCTTACTGTTTTCGCTGGAGGAGAACTCGTCTCGTTGGCGGGTTCAATAACATACATACAATCGGAACCTGGGAATAGGATGAAGGCAAAAGGAATTGTCGCCGTCGTCGTCGTCGAACCACAGATTGAATCGTAACCAGAAACGGAACAGAAAAGTTGCCTTGCGCAGTGTTCATAGCGCCTTTTTTCATCCATGGGAACGTCGACGTGCCATTTATTATCTTTTAACAAAAAAACGACTTGGTCGAACAATGAACGTTCTTAGTGTGGCTTATGCCAAGGTGAGCGTAACGCCGGGCCGGCTGAATGCGATGTCAACGGAGAGAAATGCGCTGTCACTGTGTTGCAGGTATTTTTCGGGAGTCAAACGCAAATGTGAGTGGGCGATGTACACCAGATGTATATGTGTGTGTGTGCCGCTCCCGAGCAAAAAATCGGCGCACTCACGCGGTTTCTACGGCGAAAGTGCAGAAATACCGGAGTGTGGGTGGATTCGTCGAGTTCTCGAATGCCATTCAGCTCAGCAGACATTTTACAGAGAAACCGAGAGCTCGAGACGGCACAGGTCTTTCCGATCTGCACCTTTGTAGACAGAGGTGTTCCCTTCGCAAAGTATGATCAGCGACTATGGATTCTGTCTGGGAAATCCGCTGGCTAGACATGCTGATCAAAGGTTAGCCCTGGAAGAATGGCGCCGACAACGACGTCGTCTTCGCTGCGATAGGAAGAGAGAAGTGGGCGGGTGTGTTTTTGCTGAACATCGGGGCGCGGCAAATCAAAACCTTCACATATTCGTGTTGCTCGTTCGTCGTGATCACGTGCCAAAAGTCATGTTCACCTCTTTTAGCAGGAAAAATCGAAGACCACCCTCAGAAACCTCACGTACTCCGTTCGTCGTCACCTGGCCGCATACAAAGTGGAGCACGAGCTTCATGCGGATGTCCCCTCCACATCACACCTCTGGCTTCGCTCTACGGAAGAATTCCACTCTGAGCTGAAGACGAAAATGGAGGAATGACTTTCATAGAGAATTATCCACAATAGAAGACAAAACTATATGAAAACAAGGAATGCGTGGTTCTATGGTAGCTTCCGGGAAGGAGTGGTAGCATAGTGAGGATAGGGGTGTAATGGGAGTGTAGCTGAGAGCAGTGGGGGGAATTGATGACCGAATGTTACATGCGTCAGAACTGAACTTGAACTTTACTGCTTTAACAGCGATGTGCTCGTTCTTTAAAGGGCATAACGAGCGAGCGGCGAGATCGTTGACGGGGCGCAGTCTCTCTCTCTGTGCGTGTTCGGCCGAACCCCCACACGAGAAACCAATAATGCACTCAAAGTGCAATGATGAGTGATTAGCATTTCGGCGAAGGCGGCCAGTTCTAGAATTACGAACACTTACATTTTGTTCCCGGACAATTACTGAAGAAAATACCATTTTTGACCCATGAAGCCTGCAATCCTAAGCATCTCCCTGTGAATTTGTTCAGTTTAGGTTCTAGCAGTTTCTAAAGGTGTCTAGGCAAATTAAAGCCATGTTATCAGAATGAAACTTTCAAAAAATGAGCCATCGCTATCACCATCGTTGGCCGACCTCCTTTGGTGTGCGCCACGCACTCTACCTTCCCCAAATATCGCGAATTAGCACGGGTCTGCTACCAATTAGTCGATCCCGGATGGATGGGCAGTTCAGATGGCTTGGGCGAGATTCGATCCGAGATCAGGTCCCCAGCTGCGCACGTTGTAGGTGAGATCACTTGCCCCTGCACCACTTCTCTGCATCACATCTCTACACTCTTAGTGCAACATATTACGAAGGTAGGTAATTATATTAGTAATGGTGCTCGATGTAGTAAGTCATTGGAGCATATTTAATGATTCTTTCTCTTAATAATAAGGATGCAAAAATTTAATTTTTCTTCCTATATGATACGATAGGATGCAGAACATAGTACCCTACCAAAATAGTACAACAACTTAATACTTTATAGTAAAATCCCCCAATTGTTTGGTTGCTATTCATATCAAAATTATTGATTATTTTATTTTGTGGCCTACTATTTTTGCTGTTAATAATGTGCAGTACTGCTTCGCACTACCAAATAAACTAAACACTACATCCCAAAAATTTAGCTGGATGGCTTACACTGTTCCTTCAATATTTCCTTTTTCAACGGCAACGGTTTTTGCGTCATTCCACAGTAGAGAGATGCATTAGTGTTAAGTATTGAGTAAAGCTGCTAAGCAGAAGAATGGTAGCTTAGCAAGGATTAGTAGCTTAGCTAAAGGGACGATTTATCTCCCCTGCGCTTGTGATAATAATACACTTTATGTAGGTGGTTAAAGCCGTCTAAAGGTTGACTCATCAGCTAGTATCTAGTAAATACATATTACTACTTACAAATGCTACCACTATATGCTATTTATAAACAGAAAACTTTCGTAAGTACAATTGGGTAATCCATTGTTTCATTTGTTTTGCAAGGAATTTAGCAACTTTTATAGGTGTCTAGGTCATAATAGGTGCCAGTCCTACCTCCTGAATACAGTAAAATTTAAGCAAAAATGGATGACGTAAAAACGTGTTACTAGTAATAGTCGTATAACTAGTAACTAGCGGAGCACGAGGGCTGCCGCTGTGCAACGATCGTCCAGTGATCAAGCAGCCAGCTAGAGCAAAAACATGTGGTCGTCGCCCGTCGTCGTCGTCCTCGTCGTCGTCGTCGTCACTGAGAAAAGCAACCATAGCGAAAATATAGGCGCCCGCGTTCGCGTTGTTGATGGCATGCTCTCGCTCTCCATTGCTGCACAGAGACTAGCGCCTAGACATGTATACGATGGCGGGCAGCAGTTACTAGTATAGCGAAGATTACTAGTATACAACTGCATCATGAATATGTTAAGGAACCATCTCTCTATGGCATGCAGAACAATTAAAGCTACCTAAAAACTCAGTGCTACTAAATGCGAAGGAAGAAAGAGAGTAGTTTCTCAAGCAGCAGCTTGCCAGACCTTGCAGAAATGTTTGGAAAGT